CCATCTAGCTCTGTTGCCACCTCTCACCTCTGACCCTGATCTCCAGACCTGACAGCTGTCCTGTCTTCCAGAACACAGGGAGGGGGCTGTGTGGCTTCTGGAAGCCTTCCCTTCACCCCTACTCAGCTCCAGACCCCTTCCCCAGGCAGACCCTCTCAAAGGCGGAAGGAGGAGAAAACAGCAGAATGAGAGCCCCTCCAGCCCAGCACACCCCACCAGGCTTCAAAGGTAGACCAGTCTCAACCCCAGTCAGAGTCTGGACAGGAAGGCCAGGCAACCCCAGAGGGTTTGGGGACTGCTGGCAGGAGGGACAGTCAGAAGCAGGCGGGTGTTTTGTGTGTGTGTGTGTGTGTGTGTACACGTACGTACGTGTGCTGACACCCACAGGGCCAGCCACACACGGGAGGACCCCGACAGCGGAGACATACATACACAGCCAGACCCAGACAGGCGACCCCGGGCTAACAAAGAGACAGGCGGACCCAGACAGACGCAGAGGGAGGGAAAGCAACGCGACCAACCCGGGGCAGACAAAGACAGACAGGCAGACCCCGCAGGCCCAGACAGCCCCGCCCGCGGCCCTACAGGCTCGGCCCCTCCCACCTCCTGGGCTTGCAGCCCCGCCCTCTGGCCGCGGTATAAGACTCCCCAGACGATCTTTTCCAGTCTTGGGGAGACCCTTGCAGGATCCTCCTCCTAGGCAGGTCAACGTCAATGCCTTCAGAGGGAAAACAAGCACAGAAGGTGTTTGAGACACAGGCCACCTCCCTATGGGGTTGCACTCCTGATGACCAACTATTACAGCTTCTGGAACCACCGCTGCAACCCCTCTGCCCTCAATTCTCAGATCCTCACCATTCATACCGGCAAAATGGGTCTTTCCTGGTGTGGCGCTGTAGTGACATATAGGGATAAACACTAGACCATAAGATCTGTTTGAACCATAGGTTGGCGGTTCAAATCCACCAACCGCTCATTGGAAACCCTATACAAGGTCACTATGAGTCGGAACTAACTCTATGGCACTTAAAACAATTCACCAACGGCTCCTTGGGAACTTTATAAAGGGTCGCTATGAGTCTGAACCGAACTCAACTGCACTTAACAACAATAAGGCTGCACGGTGGACTACAAACTGACAAGATCTTTGGTTTGAGCCCGCCAGCCGCTCCACAGGAGAAAGATGAGGGGTTTTGCTCCAGTAGATTTACAGCTTCAGAAATCCTATACTGGCTGTCTGTGAGTCCACTGTATGGCATTGACAACAACAACGGGGCAGAGTCCCGGTGTGGCTCTGTAGAATAAGCACTGGGCTGCTCATCACACGGTCACGATTCAAACCCACCAGTCACTTCTTGGATACCGTGTGTTAAGTGCCATGGAGTTGATTCTGACTCATAAGGACCCTGTCTAGAGTTTTAAAGGAGCAACTGGTGGTTTTGTACTACCAACCTTGCAGTTAACAGTCCAGTGCTTATCCTACAGCGCCACACCAGGATTCCATTGGAAAACCTATACAGGGTCACAATGAGTTGGAACCAATTTGATGTCACAACAACACAATAATGAGGTGATGCATGTAAATCATTATTATCCTTTGTCTGGGATTATAATCTTTGCTCTCCCAGTCGGCCCCTTCCCTTTCCCCCACTTAGAGGCATTCACCTTCTTAGCACCCACCCAGTCTTCAAAGCAGGAAACCCCACAGCATCTTCAGAGCCTCACTCAGTCCCTTTCTACTCCTCAGGGGAGAGGTGCCCTGGGCTGAAGGGACCAAATGCTTCCAAATGCTTCAGAGGTTAAAGGGAAGCAGCCCTGGGCCACCACCCACCCACCCTGTGGGCCAGGATGGATGGGTGTAGGTGAGGGTCTCCCATCTCAAGCTCCAGACAGAGATGGGGTGTGAAGGAGCTCCAAGATAAATTTAGGGGAGTTTCTTGTGGGCTAATAGGGTCGGGCTCCATGTTGGCTTACGGGAGTTCTAGGCTTCAAGGACTCGGCTTGGGACTCTGTAGTGGTCTAAGTGGGTGGGCTTTGGGGTGTGTGTGTGTGATTATAAGGGGGAGGGACTCTCCAGAAGCTGACCCTTAGTGGGCTTGTGAGAGTAGAGCCTGGAGTTGGCCAGAAGGGACCTGGGAAATTGAGTTTAGGAGGCGGGCCCATGGGATTCCAGATGGATAGGCTTTAGCGGGGGAGGCGTCTAGAGGGACCTTGGCTGAATGTTTCTGAGGGGTGGGTTATGGATGGGGATTTTGTGGGCAGGAACTGTGGGGTGTCTTCAGTTTCAAAGAAGGGGCAATTTGTGGCTCAACCAGGCTCTGCACACTTGGGGTTCCAAATTTGCCATGGGGTATCACTAGGGAGGGCCAGGACCTCTGGATATCCCTGCTAGGCCATCTTGGGTTTTCCCACACCCAGGTAGGGCATGACCTCCCAGTTCCCTCTGGTAGTCACTAGGCTGGAGTAAACCTGTAGGTCTGAGTGTTGGGGATCCCTAGGGAGTGAGGCACCCAACTCTGAAGGGAGGGGGGGGGAGGAGCAATATCTTGCCTGGGTCAGGGCTTGAGGCTGGACTGGCTGCAACCTGTTTCAAAGCCCTAGGGAGAGTCCTGCACCGCCCCACATCCTGGAGGGCTGTTCTTGTGAAGGGCATACACCCAGTTGGAGGTGGATTCCCACCATCTCTGGTCCTGGCTAGTGGGGTTTGGCCTCATTTTGACACCCTCATGTTAGAAACTCAAAAATAACTTGCGGAGCTCTGTGTCTAAGGTGTTACATTGTATTAAAGCAACTTGTTTATGGCTCGTGGATGCCCTAGGGGAGGGGTGCTGTGCTCAGACTTCTTGGGGCCTTGGGGCCTGCTGAATACCTTCTTTGCCATTCAGCAGCAGTGCCCTTAGGCCTCAGACTCCACTACAGACAAATGGGGTGCTACACCCCTTCCTGCGCTGTTTTCAGGATGACTTGATTTAACCTCTGGTAACTATTGCAAGATGTACAAGGGCTACATAATTATTTAGTGTTATTGAGGAGCCCTGGTGGCACAGTGATTAAGTGCTCAGCTGTGATCAAAAAGGTTGTCAGTTTGAATCCATCGGCCGCTCCAAATGTGAATCTGCTTCTGTAAAGATGCTAGCCTCATAAACCCTATTGTTATTAAGTGCCTTAGAGTTCGTTTCCAGTTGGTTCTGACTCAGACTCATAGTGACCCATTCTAGGGTTTCTGAGACTTTAAGTCTTCACAAGAGCGGAAAGCCTCATCTTTCTCTTGTAAAGCAGCTGATGAACTCTTAAGTTCCAAGTTCAGTGCGCTCCTTGGAAACCCTATGGGACAATTCTGTTCTGTCCTCTACAGAGTCACTGTGAGTAGGAATTTTATTTTTTTGGTATTTCTATGTGACCTGTGACTTTCTCTGGCTTGGGGCAGTTAGTAGTAGTAGTAGACTCATAGGGACTTTATATAGGGTTTCTGAGGAGCAGCTGGTGGGTTTGAACTGCTGATCTTGTGGTTTGCAATATAGTGCTGATCCTACTGCACCTAGTAACTGTTGGCTGAGTTGATGAGCCAATGGGTACTTACTCTCTTCCCTTTACCCCCTCACACTGTGGGTTCCTTGCCCTCCACCCTTCCACCACCTGGTCCCTGGAGAAGCCACCAAGGGTTTGGGGGAACATTCAACCTGTCGGTGAGTTTGGGCAGCACAGGCAAACCATCGACCGTTGAGTGGACCCTGAGGCCTGGAACTGCCATCTGCCTGTCACTGCCACCACTGGGGGTGGGGGGGCGGGCAAGGAAGCTGGCCATACCCTTCCCCTAGGCCACAACAGAAGGTCACAATCAACATTCATTGTTGTCGGTGGGTTGTGAGAACTGGAGGCCAGACCCACCGGAGGATGAATGTCACTGTGGCTGGGCTAGACACCAGGATGAATGTCACTGTGGCTGGGCTAGACACCGCCTAGGTGGATGGGAGGGGAACAGAACCTCCTAGGTTCCTCCAAAATCTCTCAGCCCCTCTCCAGCTTCTTAGTCCTTGGGATTTGGGGAGGTGGGTGGGGGCAAACTAGGTTAGAGAGAGGTGGCAAGAAACCTTTTTGAAAGAGGGCCTAAGTTGTGTTCCCTGGAGGGCCCAATGGAAATTTCTTGAATGAATGAATGGATGAGGAAGGGGTCTCAGCATAGCCCCTTTTCACCGGGTGCAGGTCCTAGGACTGCATTTTGCCCTCCTGGCTTGCTGTCTGTACATCCTCACATAGCTGTGTTTGCCTGGGTAACTCCTGAGCACACTTGACTCTCTGTAGGCTGAGATGGGGTCTCATTTGACTGGGGAGGATCAAAGAGATGCCAGGTGCTGGGGTCCCCCACTAGCCTGCTCTGTGATGCCTGCCTAGGGATGCAGGCTCCGGCTTTCCCACAACCCCTGCATGGCTTTGTTTCACACACACAAACTCACACACTCACATATTCACACTATGTCCTAGGGCGGGTACACTCCACAACCCGGAAGCTGGGAGGCCATTCCCACTTCACAAGTTGCTAAATATCACCAATCTACTCAAAGGCCCAGGGGCATCTTACCCCTCCCCCAGACCAGTTTCTGGATACTTCAAGGTCTATCTTTGGGGTGGGGCTCCCAGCCCCTCTTTCCCCTGGCTGGCTGGCAGGGCAGGAACCCCCCCAGGGCCCTTTGGGGGTGTGGGTCCAGATCCAGTTCACCCCTACAGTCTGCATCTTGTTGCCTCAGCCCACTTGGGAGACCAGTGCCTCCCTTGGGCAGGTGCAATGATGGGGGGCATCAGGAAGCCCCCCTGTTACAATAAAGAGCCTCCCTCAGCCTGCTCCTCCCCTTCTCACCCCCTTGGAGGTAAGTGAAGGGAACAGACAGCCCAGACTCCCAGGCTCCAGGGAGGGGCAGGGAGGAAGGGGCTGAAGGGCTGAATTCTGTAGGCAAGATTTCTTCTCTCTCTGCCACACTGCCTGTGCCCCCCACTTCCCAGGCATGGGGACCTTCGACCTGTGGACAGATTACCTGGGTTTGGCACAACTGGTGGGGGCTCTGCGTGGGGAAGAGGAGCCAGAGACCAGGCTAGACCCCCAGCCAGAGCCAGCACCAGGTCCAGGGGATCAGAGATCCTGCCCAGAATCGTCCCTGGCTCCCGAGCGCCTGTGCTCCTTCTGCAAGCACAATGGGGAGTCCCGGGCCATCTACCAGTCCCATGTGCTCAAGGACGAGGCGGGCCGGGTGCTCTGTCCCATCCTGCGAGACTATGTGTGCCCACAGTGTGGTGCTACTCGAGAGCGTGCCCACACCCGCCGGTTCTGCCCACTCACTGGCCAGGGCTACACCTCCGTCTACAGCTACACCACCCGCAACTCAGCTGGCAAGAGGCTCACCCGACCTGACAAACCAAGGATGCAGGACGCAGGACATCGCAGAGGAGGAGCAGGTGGGTGGTGCTATAGATGGGGGCCAGTACCCCGCTGGGTCTCTGTGAAGTGGGATTCACCCCAGTGCCCACTTTGGAGGGCTAGGGAAGGGTGAAGGATCATTGTAGAGACTTCAAATCAAATTCTAAGAGTGGTGTCTGGCATGGAGAAGCTGGGGCCAGGTTTGCTGTGTGGCCTTTAGCTAGTTACTCTCCCTCTCTGGACCTATGGAAGAAAATGCTGTCCTTTTCCAGACATGGGTCATCTGGCAAGGCTCCAGTCCCACTGGGCACTTAGAGCTGTGTGGTCTGATGAAGCTCTGAACCTGCTTCCTCGCATCGAGTCATTTGCCAGCTTGCATGTCTGGTACCAGATGGGAAAGCAACAGTTAAAATGCAGGCTGATGGGTGCTGAATAGAGGTCCAGCCCAGGGGCTCCTAGAAGAAGTGACTTCTGAAGGCCTCATTTGGTCAGGTGGGGGTCAGGGAAGTGGCACCCAGGCTCCAGGGTGGGTGTGCAGGACTCCCATGCAAGGGTAGGGCTTGTTCTGGTAATTGGTAAAGCTCTGCTGTTGCCTGTCTAAGGGAGGAAGGGGATGTGTGTATGCAGTGTGCGTTTGTGAGATTTTGAGGCAGTCAAAGGGGCCTACGGGACATGTGTGTGGCAGGGTCCCTTTCAAGGGCTTGGACATTGGATAGTCATAAAATAAAAAGCAAAGGCAGACAAGTTTATGTGTCCGAGTGGAAGACCTTGGGGAGAGGGTGTGGATTCAAGAGCACTGAAGGTTTGGACAGAAGCAAGTTTTGAGTTTATGGTTTTTGGGTGTGCTCTGGAGGGCAGGAGTGGCTAAGCAGCCCCCCGCCCCAAGCTCTCCTCAGACTTCCCCCAAGATCATGTTTAATTCACATTTTAATTCAACAGGCTAGGGTGGGGCCTAAGTATCTTGTACTTCTGAAAGTTTTCCCAAAGTTTCAGGCCCAAGGAAGGGTCAGATTTTGAGGACCCCAGGCTTAAAGATAGCTCCTCTGGGATTTTCAAAGAAAAACCTGACCTAGGCCCTTTAATTATTTTAGGGGGGGAGTCTGCTGTCAGAGGCGGGCCTGTGGGGGGGGGCGGGGCGGGGTGTGTGTTCTGCCTCCTCCATGGTACTCTGACCTCCTTGAGGGTGGTAGGTGCCAGGGTTGGATCCCTTTCCCTCAGCAAGAATTATTACCTGAATGGAAAACACCTTCCTGGATCCCCAGCCCAGTAACAGATATACAGGTGCCGAGTAAGGGAGGGAAGGTTGGGGGAGCCCTTGGCTGGATATGGACAGAAAGAGGGCCTAAGGCTTCCTGAGTAAGTTACTCTGGAGGTAACAAATCAGGGTCCACAGCCCAACTGTCTCAAGGGGTTTGTTGTTAAGTGTTTAGCAACAGTTAAATCAATTCCAACTCCTAACAACCCCCTATACAGATGGACTGGGATGGCAGGGCCCAGGCCTTAAAGGCCGGAGAAATCATTCTGTCTGGCCTGCCAAAGCAACCGCAGCTCCAGCCTTCACACTGTTATTAAGTGCCATGGAGTCGTTTCTAATTCAAAGTGACCCTGTATAAGGTTTCCAAAGAGCAGATGGTGAGTTTGAACCGGTGACCTTGTGGTTCAAATCGATCTTGTGGTCCGGTCCAGTGCGTTATCCCACAGCACCACACCACACCACCACATTAATGGTGAGTTTATAAATGTTTGACCAAATATAGCAGCTAATATTTAAGTTGGTAATTTTAGTATGGCGGATGAATGATGTTTTACATTTTGGTAGAAACAAGGTTCCTCATACCTGCTGTATGGAGTACTGGTGTGGCGCTGTGAGTTAATGCACCAGACTGCAAAGCCGTTTGACCTAGAAGGTTTGCGGTTCAAGTTCACCAGCTGCTTCTCGGAAACCCTACACAGGGTCTTTATGGGTCAGAACGAACTTGATGACACTTCACAACCATCCCGGCTGTATAGTTTCTGAAGCTTTAAATCTTCATGGGAGCAGAAAGCCTCATCTTTCTCCTACACAGTGGCTGGCCCACAATCCAGTGCTTATCATATGGAGCAAGTGAGGAGGGTATTTAGTGTGCTTTGTCTAGGCTTTGGATGCCCCTGGTTGCTATGCCAAAAGTAGTCCCCAGGTGGTGCTAGAGCCATGGCAATACTTGGAGCATTTAATTATTTTCTGTTTTTAAGTGTTTTTCTCCTTCCCACCCCCCTTTTAAAATCCAGGTTCTAAAGGTGCCGTGAAGTCTTCAGGCCCCTCGCCTTCTTGTAGTCCCTCCACTTCTGCCTAGGGGGCCGGCTCCTGAAGGATGGCGCCCCCAGAGTCCTCCTGCCTTAACCAGAGGACAGAGACCCAGGCTTGGTGGAGGCTGGATTTCAGGGGAGACATACCCAACAAGGACCGGTCCCCAGCACAGGAGCTGGCAGGATCAAGGCCTGGGAGCACAGTCAAAATAGCCCCTATGGGGAGGGAAAGGGATCCCAGGTACTCTCCCCACCCTTCCCTATCCAACTGCCAGCCCTGTGCCCCTGGCTGGCCCTTCCCCTAAACCACATTGAATCAGTGCTCAATAAATGGCATTATGGATGGAACAGTGTCACAGAAGGCTGTCTATAGAGGACTGGACATTCTGGAGTCTCATGCTGTGGGGGAAGGGGCGGGGGTGGGGGCGGCGCTACTCTCCCAGCTGCATCAGCTCTCCCTGTGTTAACCCTAACCCCCCACTTCCCTGTGGCTTCTGAATTCCTGTTGGATCTGAACCTGTAAGCTGCTCGTGTGTGGAAACAGGCGTGGGCATCCCAGGGCCTGGCCAGAACTTGTCACCATATGATAAGCACTTTAATCTTCAGGGGGCTGGTGTTATGACACCAGGTTTTTAAACTCCCCAAAGTTGGTGGGATTCCCACACTGGGGGGGTGGGGGTGGTAGGGGAACTGAGCCCCATCTTTCTCTGAGGAGGTCCTCTGTGAATGCTTGTTACCACGGGCACCCCAGGAACAATGGACAATGAGGAAATATGCCTGGCAGCTGAGAACAAGGGAAGGATGAATTCTTGGGAGCACACTGGCGGCAGGGAACAGGACGATGCCTTGGGGCTTGGTTTGGGCATCTGCTTAGAGTGCAGGGGGGCATCACAGCAAGTGTGTGATCCAGTCCAGTTCTCCTTCAGGTAGCTGCTACCTGCCTCCAATGGGGGCCATGCAGCCCGAAGCTAGAGTGGAAAGCTAGCTGGTAGTCCCTCCACCTTTTCCCCCACAACTGATGGTTGTCTTTGGGGGCCAGACTACCCACAGCCCAGGCTCCCTGGACTGTGGTAGGATTTGAACTTGGCATGACCCCACTGCCCCTGTCTTCTCCAACCCAGAGTGGGGGGGAGCAGCCTGGTGGAAGGAGGCATCTCCCAAGGAGAAAGGAGAAAAGAAATAGTAAGAGGACTACTCAGAGCATATCCTAGAGGAGGGGATGAGGTAGGAGATCGTACTCCCCTCCCACACTGGGAGTCTCCCCAGTGTGTGAAGCCCTGGGAGGGTGTGAGAGGCCCTGCCCTGTCTGGGCCAGAGGAGCTACACTGGTTAACTTAATAGAAGCAGCATTTACGAAAAATGGGATGAGGAGACAGTGGCAATATGGTAAGAAAGCTTGTGTGGGATGGTGTGTGTGGCACCCATCTTTGAACCGGTGGGTGTTTGACAGGATGACTTCTTTCCAGCCCAACTGGGGTCCTGAGTACTGGCATCTGTGTGTGTGCACGCATGCCAGAGCATAGATACACACATGCCCACACACAGACCCTTGAGTGAGACTCAAATATGCCTTAACTTGTGGGACCCCTGACTTGCATCCCAGGAAGGAGGAAATAAATCACCACGAGGGGCCGCTGTTCTCTGGAGATTAAGGAAAGAAGGGTTACAGGTTCCTGGTTAGAGGGCAGAACATGAAAGAACCTGGGAGGCCTGGAACCAACCTAGGGATGTGTTAGTCATTTATTAACAGTTGCCCCAGAAAAAAGAAAATGGAAATTGGGAAAAAGGCCAAGATAACAACCAACAAAGGGAGTCCTTTTCTCATACAGGAAAGAAACAAACAGAACCTTCCATAACCTCAGCTAAGGTGAAATTTGCAAACCAAGATAAACATCTGAGCTGGGGGGCTCAGAGCAGATGGCTGCCAGCAGGTGGCGCAGGCGCCCTCCACCTCAGGGAAGCAAGGCCACCTCTGCCAGGAAAGGGATCAGGGGCTTAGAACACCGGAGGGAAACAAAACACCAAATCATCCACCCCCTGGGCTCTCCAGGGCCAGCTGAGAGATTGTTTCCAGCTGTTCAGAACAGGAACTGTCTAAGGGCCCCGAGCTTGTCCAGGAAACTCGCAGGCACGCAGTCAGCCAGCGGGAAGCAGCCTTACTTGTCCCTCCATGCCTGCTCCCCACGAGGGATGTTCCCGGCTCCCTTGGAGGCATAGGGTGCAGGGATTTTTCCTGCCAGCTTCCCCTGCCGGTAGCTGAGGCGCTTGCAGGCTTCCAGGTCGCGGTGGGTGCTCATGATCAGCCGGCTGGGGGAGACGAGATGGGGGTGGGAGATGCAGTAAGGAAGAGTGGGGTGCATGTACATGCTTGCCCTGCCTCCGACTCGCCCTCTCACAGGCATCCTCACTTGTGTACACTCACAAGCCGGTTCGCACACTCGAATAAATGTGGACAACTGCACAAACACGTGTGCACTACTCCAGGCCCCCTCACACACCCCTCACAGGCAGTAAGCGTCAGCACTCAAGAACTTCATGTTTCAGCCACTGTAGCCAGTGGACATGAGTGGGCTGGCAGAAGCCCCCTTGCTGCCCCTGGTGGTCCCCCAGTCCCACCGTGTGCCCTCACTTGAGATTGGACAGCTCCATGACAAGACCACACACGGTGGCCGTGGCATCCTCCAGCTCTGGGGCCTTCGCAGCCTTGATCCCCTTGTTCCGGGAGTCACAGGTCCTGTGGGAAGAAAGGAGGGGGAGGGCGAGGAGAGGCCTGACCTGGCTTGGGACAGCTCCTACGAGGTGTCATTTTGTGGAACTTTCTTTCATGGGACCCTGTAGCTGTTGTTTTTCCCTAGATCTTGAACTCTGCCCTTTCCTGCTCGGCAGTGTCCTGATCTCTAACAGTGCGGTGACATGACTCAGTCCCCACTAGTCCACTGAATGCAGCCACTGCCACTATGTCAGATGGTGCCTGGACACAGCATCCATCCTGGTTCCCTATCCCTGTAGCCTAGACCTCAGACAGCCTGGGGCTGTGAAAGTGGAAAACCTCACCCATTAATGGAAACAGAACAACAAGCCATCTGTCAGTGAGTGACTGACTCTGCCCCCCCCATGTGTGTCAGAGTAAAAACTGCTCCATAAGGTTCTCAATGGCTGATGACCTATGACCCTAAAGTCTGCTGCCCTAGCCACAGAAACCTGTTCTGCTCTATTTGCCTCAGCTCCCAAAGTGGCTGGCTGCCCAGGACCTGAACCTCTCGGGTGTTTCACTCAGCCTTGAACTGCCAAACCCTACTCCACAGGACTCTCCCTGGGGCTCTAGTTGCCATCTGTGCTAGGGGGCATCATGCAGAGAGAATCAGAGACTCAGACACAAATCTCCCCACCCCGCCTGTCTGCTTACAGCACAGGGCCGCTTCCTCCACATGCCGGTCATGCTGGGGAGGAGGAGGGGAAGGGGTGGGGAGAACAGGTGGTACTATAGGTACCAGCTGAGAAAGTGTGCAAGGGCAGGAGACAAACACTCCCTTACTACTGGGAAGAGTGAAAAGTGCAGCCAAGGGCCAAGGCCATTCTCCCATCCCCAGACAGAACCTTGGCTGTGAATAATGGATGAGCCACTGCCTACAGGGAGGCAAGTTCAAGTGTAAAGTAACAGGAGAAGACAGCAGTGGGCTGGCCTTGAAGGGTAGGGAAAGGACACCCCAGGAGTTTGGATTGGAGCACTCCCCCATGCCCATGACTTGCAGGAGGGAGAGGAGGTAGTTCACCCAGGCCTAGAGCCAAGGAGACCAGAGCAGGAAGTGGCAGGGCTGTCCCTACAGTGGCTCTTAACTTTGCCCAGTTGGGGTCCCCTGGCCCTGTTAAGGACTCAGAAAGCTCTGGAATATCTCCCTAGGAAAATATACATGTGTTCACAGTAAACAAAGAATAATGGGGACACTACCCCAGGTCCCTGCTGATGTGAATAAGAATGCTGGGGGACAGAGACACATGTAGTTTGGATGGAATATGGGGTTCAGTTCTCTTATCTGGTTGTAGGATAACACTTTAGGGCTGAAGGTCAGCCTCGTTGTATGGAGATTCCCAGGCCACCTCCCATACCTACCTTGGTTGGGTAGTACTGATGGGGGCTCCATCAGCAGGTGGGCTGGTGCCAGGCCAGCAGGGGACTGATCTGCTGCCCACAGGAGATGGCTGGAAAGACAGAGACAACACACATGTGGAAGGCGTGGCCAAGAGAGGCCTGTCCCAGGAGGGAGGTGGGTGCCTGGCTCAGTCTGCCCTGAACACCTGGCAGGACCCCTGCCAGAGGGAACTGCATTGTAGGAGCCAGCCAGGCCACCAGAGCTGCCTGACTTCTGCCCTGGTCCCTCTTCCGGCCGACACTGGCACCCTGTCCCATGGTATTGCAATTCCTGGCAGGCTCCTTATAGGCCCCATGGTCCCATTGAGACATTCACTGTCCCTGACTACTGAGGGTGACCAGGTGCCTGCACACTTCAGTCTCCAGAAGGGGGCTGAGTAGCCCACCTGGGGCTTCGGGTTGCTGTGTGGCGGGCACAGCATGGACATGGAAGAAGTCATTGACCTTGGCCAGACAAGATAGCATGTTGAGTGTCAGAAAGAGACTTTGAAAATATGGTATGGCAAGGGGAAACTCCTAAGAGATAGAGAAGAGAGCCTGACACTGTGAGAAGTGTGCATTTTCAATGTCAGCTGTGGCTAAGTTTTCATGGGAAATGTCACGGAGATGACCTGAGGCAGAGGCTGTGGTGGGTGGGCTGCGGGATCGCTGGCCTGTTCTGGGAGAACAAGAAGTCTGGGAAAGGGGGCTGTTCTCACGATGGCCTTCCCAGCCGGAGTCTGTGGCCACCGGTGCACAGGGTCCCTGGATTCCAAAGACCCTCCCTCAACACAACAGCAGAAAGGAGAAATCACCCAAATGAACAGGGAAAGGAAAGGACACAGTGGCACAATGGACTATTACTCACTCAGCCATGAGAAGGAAGGTGGATGAGCCTTGGCTACACTCCTCAGTGAAAGAAGCCAGAGGCTAAGACTATGTTCTACATGAGTCCATTCAGAGGAACGGTCTCAAACCCATAACAACCCAACCCACTACCACGGAGTCGATTTGCAGCTATGCTAGACAGAGGAGAACTGCCCACAGGGCTTGAGACAGACTTGGTATGGGCGTAGATGGCTTCATTTTCTTCCCATGGAGGACCTGGTGGATTTGACTCTGGTTAGCAGCCCAAGGCTTAACCCACAGTGCCACAGGCAAACCCCTAGAGACAAAAGCAGATGAGCAGTGGCCACGGGCTGGGGGTAGGAAAGAGGAGTGATCTTTCTGGAGTGATGGAAATGTTCTATAATTGGATTGTGTTGATGGTCGCAAAATTTTGTAAACTTATAAAAAAATGATTGAACTGTATGCTTAAAATGGGTCAACTGTATGGCATGTAAATTACACCTATATAAAACTCTTTAGCAAAATGTGCAAAGACCTGGAGTTAGAAAACCAAAAGGGAAGAACACAGCATTTCTCAAGTTAAGGAAACTGAGGAAAAAATTCAAGCCTTGACTTGAAGTATCGAAAGATTTTCTGGGCAAATTATTGAATGATGCAGAAAGCATCAAAATAAGATTTACAAGACCAAGCAAGTTGTTCACCAGGAAGCCATCAAGGCAAGTAATCAAGTCCCTTCAGGACAAACCCCCCTCCAAGACAAACTCAAAGGGAACACAAAAGCAGGTATATGAACTTGCTGGTGACCACGTTGGTTTACTGGTGAGTGGAAGAGGGGGAAAGGCAACAATGGGCTGAATTTTACCATGTTCCATAGATTCCCGTTGACCTGGAGATAAGAGAGAGAAAAGGAAAGGCTGGTTGGTCTGAAGTTTGGTGAGACCTGGGGACTCCTGAGCCCATGGACAAGGACATAGCCATGCAGAGCTAGAGCTGAGAGTGAAGCATCCCGCTGATATGAAGTGAGGGGAGATGCACAAGAACACCCAAACTTTCAGCTAGTACCCATTTAACCTACCCCTTGATGGCTTGATGATCATAACTCAACTAGAAGAAGATAAGTAACATTTTTTGGATAAAAGAAACAAGTGTAAATAGCTACAATTTGATGAACTTGACCTATACTTCAGGTTGTAGTAGCTCAAAATACCAACAGAGAGGGAAGGAGTCTTCATATCAAGTATCAATCCTATCCCCTCTGTAGACAGGATAGATAGGGATGGGCAACCTAGACATTAGCTACCTAAAATGGGACGATAAAGGCACAAAGTGAGTGGCTTACAAGTTTTCAAGAGGGAATTCAGCTTAAGAGTGTGCAGGGGAAGGAAGAGTCCCCACTGAAATTTTCATTTTGTCTAGATGAGTCTGGTGAAAAGAGATGGGGATAAGATTCATAACGATTCAGTAGTGAGTAACTGTTTTCATGATTAATTGTGACTGACACAACTGTAAAGGTAGAAGTTTTGTAACAAAAACAGGGGAGTAGTTATTCTTACAGTCCAGAAACAGAGGACTCTAAGACCATCAAGGGAGAAGAGCACAAGTGGAATGTGGGACCCTATCCAGAAAAGCAGTGATATCAGATGGAGGCAGAGATGGGGACATGGAGAGAGGGAGCAGATGAGGACTCTAGACTTAGGGAAAGAGAGGGACTGAGTGCTGGCAGCCAGGAGGCAGGCTTGCAAAATGTGCTCTTTGGTTTTTTAAGTTATTATATATTCCTGAGTGTTTTTGTGTACATTCCCCCCAACCCCCACAAAAAACAACAACAACAACAAAAACCGAGGGAATGGAAGCAAATACTGTTGAATGATGATGTACGGAGGAGATTGTAATCATTGCAATGAAATGATGGTGTAAAGCTGATGTTGTCCCATGTAAACTACCACTCAGTTCACAATTAAAAAAAAAAAAAAATGGAAGGAACACAGAGTCACTGTACCAAAAAGAAATGGTAGATGCTCAACTCTTTGAAGATGTAGCATATGATAAGAGCCAATGATCCTAAAGGAAGAAGTCCAGAGTGCATTGAAAGCAAAGAACAAGGCACCAGGAATAAATGGAATGCAAATTGAAATCTTTCAACAAACCAATGAGGCATGGGAGGCGCTTACTTATCTATGCCAAGAAATTTGGCAGACAACTACCTGGGCCAATTGACTGGAAGAGATGCAAATCTGTGCTCATTCCAAAGAGGGGGAACCCAATGGAATTAAAAAAATCATCGGACAACATCGTTAATATTACATGTAAGTAAAATCTTGCTAAAGATAATACAAAAATGGCTTCAACCATACATTAACAGAGAGCTTCCTGAGACTCAAGCCAGATTCAGAAGAGGATATGTAACAAAGGATGCCACTGCTGACGTCAGATGGATGTTGGCTGAAAGCAGAATATAACAGAAAGATGTTTACCTATGCTTTACTGACTTTGCAAAGGCTTTCAGTTGTGTGGATCATGACAAGCTACGGACAACATTGTGAAGAATGAGTATTCCAGAACACTTACTTGTGCTCATGAGGAACCTGTACATGGACCAAGAGGCAGTTGTTAGAACAGATCAAGGCAACACCGAATGATTTAAAATTAGGAAAGGTGTGCGACAGGGTTGTATTCTTTTACTATACTTATTCAATCTACATGCTGAGCAAATAATTTGAGGAGCTGGATTATATGAAGAAAAACGTGGCATCAGGATTGGAGGAAGACTTATTAATAACCTGTGGTATGCAGATGATACAACATTGCTTGCTGAATGCAACAAGGACTCAAAATACTGATAAAGATCAAAGACCATGTCCTTGGTATGGGTTGCACCTCAGCATAAAGAAAACAAAAATTCTCACCACCAGGCCAATAAACAACATCCATATCAATGGAGAAAAGATTGAAGTTGGCACAGACTTCATTTTGCTTGGATCAACCATCAACACTCATGGAAACCGCATTCAATAAATCAAACGACATATTACATTAGGCAAATCTGCTGCACAAGACCTTTTTAAAGTGCTGATGAGCAAAGTTGTCAGGTTGAGGACTAAGGTGTGCCTGACCCAAGCCATGGTATTTTCAATAACCTCATATGCATGTGAGAGCTGGACAGTGAATAAGGAAGACCGTAGAAGAATTGATGCATATGAGTTATGGTGTTGGAGGATATTGAAAGTGCCATGGGCTGCCAAAAGAACAAACAGATCTGCGTTGGAAGAAGTGCAGCCAGAGTGCTCCTTGGAAGATTTTGTCTCTCATACTTCAGACTTACTGGACAAGGATATCATGTTTGGTAAAGTCGAGAGACACTGAAAGAAGAGGAAGACTCCCAAAGACATGGATTAGCATAGAGGCAGCAGCAATGGACTCAGATGTGGCAAAGACTGTGAGGTTGGCCCAGGATCAGGAAGTGCTTCATTCTGTTGTGCACAGGGTTGCTATGAGTTGGTACTGGCTCGATGGCACCTAACAACAGCAACAACAAAGGGACTGCAGTGACTCCATATGATAAGCACTGGACTGTGAACCACAAGGTCCGCAGTTCAGGCCCACCAATCACTCTGCAGAAGAAAGAGTAGGCTTTCTGATCTCTTGAAGAGTAAAGCCTCTCAGAAATCCTAGACAAAAAGGACTTCCTGTAACCCAGCGGTTCTCACAAGGGCATGACTTGAACTCCACAGGGACACTTGGCGATGTCTGGAAACATGTTTGGTTGTTGGGAGGTGGGGTACTACTGGCATTGGACAGGTTGACGTGAAACCAGGGGTGCCACTAAATATCCTAGAGCATGGGATGCTCCTACCACAGAGTGTCAGTAGTGTCAGGGTAGACAAACATGATGTCACCTGGGCACCCGGCCAACACATTTTTGTAGGTGACTTTGTGATCTGAAATCCAATTCCATGTTACGTCACCATCAAACTTTCCCTTGCTACAAGGGGTTTTTCTCACTCTCCACAGATCCATATGCTAGCCTCAGGGTCTGCAGGCATTCATCCACATGGGGACTTGTCTTAATGAAGTGCTGACAGAGGACCAGGATCAGTTTGAAGGGGCCGCTCATCCAGGAATAAGGAGCTGGGATGTGCAAGTGGTTTGCGATCAATCGGGTGCTAATCTAAAGGTTGGTGGTCTGAATGACCCAATGGCTTCATGAAAGAAAGTTCTGGTGATGAAGATTACAGCCAAGAGGACCTTACAGTATAGTAAGACAATAATTGGGGTCCTGAGAGTGGGGGACTGACTGAAGGTAGCTACTCACCACCTCCAGAGACTCCATCTGCCAGGCCCCCACAGGGAGCAGCTAGGAGATGCCGCCACCAACCTTCCGCTAAGGGAAAACCAGTCTCTGTCACTGCTGTGCAGCCTCCCAGTACCCCTCCTCCCCTGATGCCATGTGAGGTCACAGATCACTGTGACTTGTCACAGGAAGATGGTTGTCACTGTTCCCTCAATCCTAGTTCTGTTCCCCAGAGCCCCTACCCACATGTGGGGCTGCTGGGTGTGGCTCTGCCTTCCCATGGGAACCTGCTGGGTGGCTGGGCTGCCCGGACTTGCTTAGGAACGCCCCAAGTCAAAACAGAGCACACCCAAATGTTGTCAACCTGGCAAGTGGGTGGCTCTTTCCCCAGCTGACCTGACCACCTGGCCTCCACCATTCTGACTTGATAATCTCTAAGTCACAGCTGCTGCTGATTGTTCTAGAAGGGTTCACAGGTTTGTCTGCTGGATGCCACCTAGGCAAAGCTGATTCCCTCGGTCCGAGAGGACAAGGGCTGGGAGCAACATGAGCAGTTCTTGCCAAGGAGGGTTTGCTAATTATAAAGGCCAAGATTCCGTGATTGCATTCAGACGGTGGCCAGTCCCTCACCCGGACTAACACTGGATTGCACTGGGACTGGCTTTCAATGATACCATCTCATTCGGGGTCACAACATCTTGGAATGGGCAGGCACCAGGACACTGGCCACCAGAGAGGAACTACTGGGCCCTCGATGGGCAGCTGGGCCGGGTCTGAGGAACCACCACATAGGCAAATGCTGTTGATGGTCACAGGACCCTGGCCATGGCTCTGGAAAGTGGCCCCTGGAAACCCAGATCTGTAGGTATCCCCTCCACATCTAGCCCAGCCTCATGCCCCATCTCTACCACCCAGGATGGAATACCTGTGCTTGCTTAGGTGCTCTTGTTTGTGAAAACCTAGTTGCCTTTGAGTCAATTCCAACTCAGAGCGACCCCATGTATGTGAGAGTACAACTGTGCTACATAAGGTTTTCAATGGCTGAGTGTTTGGAAACAGACTGCCAAAGTTCCTCAGCATATAAATTGAATGTGACAGTTGAGCACATTCACTGTCTGGTTCCATCTAGAACTCCTGAAGCATCAGAGCCTCTTAGAGAGGCAGGTGGAGCCCTTAAGAACCATTGGGGCAAGAAACACATCAGATTTGCTCCCCTGGCGCACAGCAGTTATTCCATAAATAGATGCTGAATGACTGGATTATTTAGTCTCACCAGGGATGGCCCAAAAAAGTTACCGGGCACGCCTAGCCTCCTCCACACATGACCTTGTCACTTCCAGCAGGTACCGAGCTACCCTTTGTCTCTTGATCACACTGGTGTGTGCAAAGAGTACCTCCTGAATCTCCACAAGGGACTGCCAAGCACTCAGCTGGCCTCAGGGGCGCCAACTGCCAGGGGTGTTGCACTTGCTGAAATGAAGCAGCAACCTGCCCCAACAGGTGATCAGGGACAGGTGACTCCACATTCAAAGACAACACCTGGGCAGTTTTCCCAAGCCCTGTCAGGCAGGCAGGTCCTAAGAGGTCCCAGGGCTTGCAGCCAGGGAGGACTGCTGAAGGGTGGAGGGGCCCCTCAACCCTTCAACTCGCCCCCACAGGCAGGCCTGAACGGTCCAGAAAACCACTTACTCATTACCCATCCGAGTTGCAACTCCAGACCCCTGAAAGTAACTGCTGGGCCCAGTAAACCCTCCACCACTGGGCAATCTGCAGAGTGGGTGTGGGGCTCCTGGCTGTCTGGCACCTGCTCTAGGGCATATCGGCCAGATGTCAGGAAAGCTCTTACCTGCTCAGGTAGGGCTTCAAAGTCTGGGGTATCCAGGGCACCCTGTATCTGGCTGTCGGCCAGGAAGTCGAGTTCCATGGGTGAAGAACACCCCCAAACAGTCCGTTCGGCAGAGTCCTGAGCAGTGCGGATCCAAGGTCCTTGGGGAGGGGCATTCACCACTTCTCTATCCTCTGATGGGCTTGTAATTCCCAGGGATAGGCTGTACCCTGGAGGTTTGGGGTCCAACTGACCCTTGCTGCTCTGCTCGTCTGCTCTCCCATCTACAGGCTCCGCCGGGGAAGGTAGTGCGCACGCGTCACCTAGCCTCTTCTGACTAGGGCTCGGCATCACATCTGCACCTGGATCCACTTCCAGGGGGAGAAGGCTGGGATCACCAACACCCACAGTAGGCTCTTGGTTCTCAAGAATGAGAGGCGAGGAGGCTGCAGTGGGGTCTGAGGAGCCACAGGTGGTCTGGTCTGGCCCCGCCTCTCCCAAGGCCTCGGAGGAGCTCGGCAGTGCCCCACTTCGGCCGCCGTCGTTGGGGGCCTGCCTGGCCACTTCCAGAGCCCCCGGTGGTGGAGCTGTGGAGCCTGTGTTCCCATCTGCATAAACTATAATGACAGTCTTGCTGGATGTCTGCTCCTGGTCTGGGCAGTCCTGGGCCGCTGACCCAGACTCTGGGTCCCGAGACACTGGGCTCAGCCCCTGACGAGGGGCGGGGGCAGGAATGGGGCCAGGTGCACACAGGAAGCCTTCTCTTTCTTCCTGGGGGGCTCCTCCGTTGGGCTTCTTCCCTTCAGACTCACTGCTCGGCGGAGGTTCTTTATGGGCCCCATCTGTGCCAGGCCTGCTGCTGTCCTCCTGCTGTTCCGCTAAGAAGCAGGGTGCTAAACTGCCGAGTCCACCCTCGAGAGCACTGGTCCCTGGCTCTGACGGAAGCTTCTGGCTGGCCCCCTCTGAAACAGAGGGTGTCATCTGGCCACTCTGGGAGCTGTTGATGGATGTCATGAACACAGAAACCACACTGGCCTGCACAGGCTCTGGGGAGAATTGACTGGGCTGCTTGGGGTGGGCATTTGCAGTCTGCACCCCTTCCACCGGGCCCCCCTCATTCATGGTAACTGGCCCCAGGGATGTCTGTTGGTTTTCCATCTGCTGGGCACTGGACGCCTGCTGTACTTCCTGTGGAGAGAAAAAGGCAGCTTAGGATCTCACTAACCCACCCTCAGAAGACTGTCCTGGTATTCACCGCCCTCTTCTAAGTCTTGGTGCTGTGGATGCCCGTCCATCACTCTACACTGTCACCAGTACTGGTGCCCGGCGAGCCCTCCCTCCACCAGCCTCCTCTCCCAGCTTGGGGCCTCGGTTGGCACCCATGGCAGTCTCCTGGTTTTGATCATGACCTTCAGCTATGTCCTAAGATGCTGTTACTGGGGGAGGCTGAAGGAAGATGGTACACAGGACCTCTGGACTGTTTTTGCAACTTCCTGAGTCTATCATTATTTCCATTGAGGCTCTCTCCTGTCACTGCACAATCAGCTCCCCTTAGAGAGAACAGGGTTCATGTGCTCACTGCCCATTTTCCTAACAAGGCACACAGGAAGTATTTCTGGGACAAATCTTAGTGGACTCGTGAATATGTGGAATGCAGAGGCCTGCAGCAGTGCCGGCAATCAAGAGTGCAGTAAAGGTGCATGCTCATGGCGGTACGTGTTCATCCACAGTGTGGTGTATGACTGTAGGGCCATATTGTTATAGGGCTGTCCAGTCAGTTCCAACTCATAGAGAGAGATCCTAAGTCCAACAGAACGAATGACCACTCACTGTCCAGCCCTATGCCATCCGCACAACAGTTAGGTTTGAGCCTATTGCTGCTGCCACTGTGCCAATCCATCTTGTAGAGGGTCTTCGTCTTTTCCACTGACCCTCTGGTGTACCAAACACGATGGCATATTTAACTCAGCCCTCAAAATGAATTCAGTCTTGATACATGCTCCAACATGGATGAACCGCAAAGACCTCACATGGAGTAAGAGAAGCCAGATACAAAAGGCCACGTGGTGTGCGATTCCATTTCCAGGAGCTATTCTGACAGACTCAGAAACACAAAGCAGATCAGTGGGTGCCAGGGCTGAGGGTAGGTAGCAGGGAACAGTGGGTTTGGGTACTGGGTTTTCCTTTTGGGGCAATGAAAAGTTCTGGAACTAGACAGAATAGAAGGAATGTCCCTGCATGGTACCCTTTAACATGATTAAAATGACAAATTTTACAGTCTATCTATTTTACCATAGTAAAAGTTTAAAAACAAAACACAAATAAAAGTATGCAGCTGGCACTGGCTGGGGGCAGTACTGAGTGCTGGGTTGGGTTGACTTTACAGTTCTGGGAGCCACCTTGTCAGGTCTGTGTTTGTCATGACGTCTCATTCATGAGGCCACAGAAGGGTTGGAGAGTAGCGGAGCTGGGACTCTGTCCCATTCAAAACCCATGGCTCCAATCTCGGCACCCAACTGCTCCCAAGAAATTCTGTTCCACATGAGCTGCAGAAAAAGCAATCCACTGAGGAGGGATGCCCTGCCAGCCCGTGTTCCCTCCTTTCACAGTGAGAAGCAGAGACCATGCTGGGGAGAGTCCGTCCTATAGACTTCCAGCCTGTCTGCTGAGTCACACACATATGTCTTCAATCGACCGTGAAGCTAACACCTCCCCCCGTTTAATTAAACTTTTGAGATAATTGTGGCTTCACCTACAGTTGTGTTAAAACCTGTATGAAGTTTCCTCCTGCAGAAACACCTTACAGAGCTGCAATTGTGGGGAGGATGGGCTGCCCAGGCCCCTCCACTGGCTGCCTAATCAATTCTGGACCCAGAGCACCCCTTACTAATGGTGGCTGGGAACTGAGCCCCTCTCCTTGTGGGAAGTCCCCCCCACCCCCATGCCTGCTTGACTTGTGCACCTGGACAACCCCACTCCTATAGCTATTCCTGATTGGGAGGGAATTGAGTCTTTCAGCTGAGGCACCAGGTGGGTACAGACCCTGAGATAGCTGTGGGGAGTGACCTGCTGGCCCTGGGGAACCAGTGTCTGCTATGGAAGGTCTCTCTCTGTGTGAATACTATGCTGCTCCATCCAAGGCCACGCTTCTGTTGTTAGCCCTGCGCCTTGGCTCCTCAACATCATAATATTGTTTTTGTTTGTTTGTTTGTTTGTTT